TGATCCTCCTGCCTCAGCCTCCTGAGTGCTGGGATTACAGGTGTGCGCCACCATGCCCGGTCATGATTTTTGTGCATGTGCGTCTCTGCTGTCTCTTTTTATGTCTTACTCTCCCGTTCTTATAAAGACACCAGTCAGATTGTATTAGTCACTTGCCCATTGCTGGGTCAAAATACTCTGCACTTGCAACTTAAATGAGGAGAGGTTTGGCTCCCAGTTTCCATGGATTCTGTCTACTGTTGACTGGCTCCAAAGCAGAGAATCATGACAGAAGGGCACGGCAGAGGAAAGCTGTTCACAATGTGGTAGCCAGGTTGCAGAGGGAAAAATTGGGAGCTGGGGACCAGAAGCAACTTACACCCCCAATGACCTGCTACTTCAGACCTAGCCCTACCCCTCAATATGAGAATTGTGCAAGAGATGTGAGGGTGGTTGAACATGCAAACCAATAAATGAGATATACCACATCAACAGAATGAAGGACAAAAGCCATATTATTATCTCAACAGATGCAGAAAAGGCATTTGATAAAATTCAACATCCCTTCATAATAAAGACTGAACAAATTAGGTGTAAAAGGATTGTACCTCAAAATAATAAAGACCATGCTGGGTACAGTAGCACACATCTGTAATCCCAGTTACTTGGGAAACTGAAGCAGGACGATTATAAATTCAAGGCTAGCCTGTACATCTTAGCAAGACCCTGTTTCAAAATGAAAAAGAAAAGGGCTGAGACTGGGCATACACCTGTTACAACAGTGCTCTGGGAGGCTAAGGCAGGAGGATCACAAGTTTGCACCCAGCCTGGACAACTCAGCAAGTTAGTGAGACCTGGCCCCAAAATGAAAAAGGTTGAAATAAAAAATAAAAACGATTGGTGATGTAGCTCATTGCAAAGGCTTCAGTCCACATTACTGGGGTGGGGGAGGGAGGGAAGGAAGGAAGGAGGAAGGGAAAGAAGGAGGGGAATGAGAATAGCTGGGGATGTTACTCAGTGGTAGAACACCTCTGGTTCAAGCCCCAGTACTGAAAAAAGAAAAATAATTCAGCAGAGTTGCAGGATATAAAGTCAGTACACAAAATCAGTAACAGGACTACATACAAAAAGAAAACTATCTGAAATAGAAATCAAAAAAGCAATCCCATTTTTAATAGCTACAAAAGTAATATACCTAGGAATAAATTTAACTGAAGAGGTCAAAGATCTCTACAATGAAAATTATAAAACACTGATTAAAGAAGTTGAAGACGATAAAACAAAAGGGATAGACAGCCCATGTTCATGGATTGAAAGAGTCGATATCATTAAAATACTCACACTAACTAAGTGATCTACAGATTCAGTGAAATTCCTATCAAAACTCCAATGACACAGCTGGGTGCAGTGGTACATGCATATACTGCTCGGGAGGGTGGAGCAGGAGGACGTGAGTTTGAGGCCAGCCTGGGTACACAGTGAGTTCAAGTCTAGTCTGGGATATGTAACAAGACCTTATCTAAAAAAAAAGATATTCATGACAGAACTATAAAAATAATCCTAAATTTCATATGGAACCATGAAAACCCTGAGTAGATTAAATGTAAAATCTGAAACTATGAAAATAGTAGAACAAACATAGGGGAAATGCTTAGGTTATTAAAACTGGCAAGGATTTTTTTGGACAAGACTCCAAAAGCACAGTAAGCAAAAGCAAAAATGGGCAAATTGGATTACGATAAAGTAAAAAGTTTCTGCACAGCGAAAAAACAAAACAAAACAGCGCAATCAACAGAATAAAGACAATCTACAGAAGGTACAAGTAGTGACAATCAAATCAGATGTAACAAGCTGGATGTTGTAGAGTACACCTATAATCCTGGCACTAGGGAGGCTAAGGCAGGAGGATGCCACAAAATTTAAAGCAGCCTGCCCAAGCCGGGCGTGGTGGTACTCGGGTGGCTGAGGCAGGAGGATTGTTGTGAGTTTAAGACCAGCCTGGGCTACAAAGTGAGCTCAAGGCCAGCCTGAACTGCATAGCAAGACCCTATCTCAAAAAGACAAAAACAAAACAAAACAAAAAAAACCTCCCAGATGTAACCAAAAAATCTAGATGTTCAAAATTACTGACAGGACTATTTAATATATGCCATAGATCTGTGCTACTAAAGGGGAACTGTGTCCTAAATTTATATTGCACCCTGAGATATTATGTGTGTTTTTCACTCTCCCTGTATTCTTTTCTATCTTAAAAATGATGCTTCAAAATACACATAATTATAAGTGCAGAAAAATAAGTGCTTATAGTTTGGGCTCTTGGAGAACTAAAGCAGGAGAATATTTACACCCAGGAAATCAAGTCCAACCCAGGCAACAAGGGGCTGGGGATTTAGCTCAGCGGCATAGCGCCTGCCTGGCAAGCGCAAGGTTGTGAGTTCGATTCCCGGTACCGGAAAACAACAACAACAACAACAAAAAATAAACAACGCAGGCAACACAGTGAGACCTCATCCATAAAAATACAAAAATAGCAGATCGTAGTGGTGCACTCAGGGGACAGAGACAGGAAGATCTCAAGTGCCAGGTCAGTTGTAGCTACATGTAAGTTCAAGGCCAGCCTGGAGTATATAGTGAGATCCTTTTTCAAAAAAACAAACAAAAAACAAAAAACAAAGAAAAAAACAACCAAAAAACCGAACCAAAACAAAACAGACAAACCTGCAATAAATAAATAAATGTTTAAAAATTTTAAAACCACTTAGAACTCAGGCATGGTGGTGCATGCCTTTAATTCCAGAAGTCTGAGAAGGTGAGGAGGAAGAGTGCAAATTCTAGCTCAGCCAAGGCAGCTTTGTGAGACCTTGTGCCAAAAATAAAAATTAAAAACATTGTAGATATGTAATTCAGTAAAAAAGAAAAGGAGCCCTGCTTGGTCGCGCATACCTCTAATGCCAGCACTGTGGCAGGGGGGATACTGAGGCAGGGGGCTCACTGCAAGTTTGAGGCTGGCCTTGGCTTCCTAGTGTTTTCAAGGTCAGCCTGAACTGCAGAGCAAGACCCTGTCTCAAAAAAAAAAAAAATTAGCCATACGTGGTGGCACGCCTATAATCCCAGCGCTCGGGAGGCTGAGGCAGCAGGATCGTGGTGAGTTCCAGACCAGCCTGGGCTACAAAGTGAGCTCAAGGCCAGACTGAACCGCATAGCAAGACCCTGTCTCAAAAAGACAAAAAAAAAATCAAAACTTTGAACCATGTATTTCTGTCATTTAATAAAATAAATTTAATTTTAAAAGAAATGCTATCAAATTTTCATGCAGACATTTTTTGTTGATACTCTATTCCAAAATCAACTTCACGTTTGTTGGACATATAAATGTATACAACAAAACTTTTCCATGTTTCCTTTGCAGCGTTGGGGATCAAACCCAAACCCAGGGCCACACACAGGCTGAGTCAGCCAAGTGTTCTGCCACTGAGCTCTGTGCCTGGCCTTGAATTCTTAAAGAAAATATAAAAGAATATATTTTTATTATACTGTAAAAAAAAGATTGATCCTTTAGACTCATGTTTTCATGCTTTTTGCTCTCCTATCTGAAAGAATTTTGAAAAGTCATGAATCTTCTTGCACATATTTAATTTGACATAAAAGTGTTTGCATTATAAGTTAAAGTAATTATGAAGTACAGCTTTTGCTTAGCATGCATGGTGCCTTGGTTTCAACCCCCAGTACAAGATAAAAAAGAAAGCAACAAAATATGTAATTTGCAATCTATTATAAATGTTTGTATATATTATGACTTAGATCCAAAATATCTTTCCAAATTCTCCTATGTTCAGAGGTGGATCTTCTGAAGTTGATTGGATCATGGGAGCTCTGATTTAGTCAGTGGATTAATACATTGATGAGATCATCATCCAGTGGCATTCTGTTTTTGTCTTTTTTTGAGACAGGGTCTCGCTATGCAGTTCAGGCTGGCCTTGAGCTCACTTTGTAGCCCAGGCTGGCCTCGAACGCAAGGACCCTCCTGCCTCAGCCTCCTGAGTGCTGGGATTACAGCTGTGCACCACCACACCCGGCTTCAGTAGCATTCTTAAGAAAGGGTGGAAATTTAGGAAGTGGGGCATAGCTGAAGAGAGTGTGGGTCAGCGGGGCATGACCTTCGGGACTACATCCGGACCCCAGCCCCTTCGTCTCTGGCTCTTTCCCTGCTACATTCCTGCTTGCTAGGAAGTGAGCAGCTCTGTTCCACCACAACCTTCCTCATTGATGTTTTCTTTGCCTTGGGCTATAGCAATGGAGCCAGCTTAACATGAACTAAAACCTCTGAAATCATGGACCAAATAAATCCTTCCCCATGTATGTTGTTTTTCTCAGGTGTTTGGTATTATCAACAAGAAGCTGACTAACAGTGTAAACACTGAATCCATCATTATTGTAAATGGCATCTAAATGCTGTAATGATATGATAACCATCATTCATTTTTCTTTTGTCATCATTCATGTCATTTTAGATATACATAATGATCACATTCATCATAGAGAATTTGTACTTGTACATGATATAACGTGATTCTTCTTTTAGTCCCCTTTCCTTCCCCTCCTTTCAACCCATCTTCCCCTCCTTATTTACAAAAACTTTGTGATCGGGAACCTGGCCAAGATCCCCAACTGCCTGCATAAAGGGTATGGGGAAAGGACGAAATAAGAAACAGACAAATTTAGTAATGCATGACAGAGGGGCTGTGAGGTCAGTGCCTCAGGATGGGCAAAGACGAAGACACTCTGAGCCAGCCACTATTTATTGGGTGCGCACAATAATCCGAGGGAGTGTGGGATGACTCAGAGCACTGCATGATTTTATGCTGATGAGGATCTTAAACTGATGAAGATTATTTCAGATGAGGATGGTGGGATGTGCAAAACCTAATTACAATAGCAGGTGAGAAGAGATAGCAGGATAGTACAGAGTTTGTCCTGTCCCTCAAATGAAACCCATTTTTTCTTACTGTTTGGTTCTCAAGGAACCAGGAAGTCTTCAGCTGATGTAATCTTGCCCTGGAGTGTCCCGGCATCACAGGACAATTGAGGCCTCAAGTGTGACCAGAGGTACATAGAGTTATGTTTCCGCATACCATAGCTGGCTTGCACGGCAAGATGCTAGGCCTCAGATGAGCCCTAATCACAATTTGATTAGGAAATGATTTTTCCCCAAAAATTATATACAGTGCTTCTCCACACTTTGTTTCTATATTGTCTTCTAGTCTCTTGTTTTCCATTTCTCTTCCTACTTTTCCTATCGCCCACCTCCTTACAAACATTTTCCTCCTATGTCACAATATCTATTATACATTTTGGTCCCTATTTATATTTTTGGTTTCTCACACCAGAGAAACCATGTGATATTTGAATGTGTATGTCCGATTTATTTCCCTTAAGAGTATGGTCTCAAGGTGCATCAATTTACGTAGAAACACCTCAGGTTTATCCTTTTATGGCAGAATAGTACTCCATTGTATAGAAAACCCACATCTTCTTTATCCATTCATCTGGTGATAAGCATTGGGGCTGTTTCCAAGATTTAGCTGTTACAAACTGCTGCTGTAAACATGGGTGCACAAGTACAATAAAATAAAATAAAATAAAATAATGTAGTATAAAATTCAGTTCTTCAATCACACTGGCCACCTTTCAAATGAGACTCAGTGAGCAGGAGTCCGGTGGCTCCTACCCTGAAGGGCACCAATGCAGAGCACCCTTCATTACAGATGAGTGCATTCTGCTGAAAAGCAATGTTCTAGACATTTTATAGGTTGGGGTTTTACATGTAAGGGATCATAAGGAATGAGTACGGGTAGAAGTTATTTGCTTATTTATGCATATGGACGCCCAGTTGCTCTGCCATCTTTCTAAAGAATACACGCTCCCCATTGACCTCTGTTCCCACCTTTCCCAAAATCAATCAGCTACACACGGGCCTCTTCCTGGTCTACAATACCCTGTTCTTGTGCCCATCCCTTGCTGTCATGACTATTGCCATGCTACAGCCAGGCTCAAGATCAAATGTGAGAACCTAAGTTGCGAAATGTTCTCTGGTCTTCTGTTTTCTGGAATGGTTTGTAGAGAGTTTCTTCTTTGCTAGTTTTGGGCTTTTTTGTCATTTGTTTGTTTGTTAAAATATATACCACAGTTAAGCAATCAAGTCAGCCAGTCTTTAAGTTTTCTAAGACTGTTTTTAAGTATAAATTCAATTTCTTTAATAGGCATAAGATTATTTAAATATCAGTTTCTTCCTCAGTGAATTTAGTTTGTCTCTTTCAAGGGAATGATTCATTTTCATCTGAATTGGCAAATTTGTAGACATGGATTTGTTGGTGATATTGCTTTGTTATCTTGTAATGATGTAGAGTTGGTAATTGTATCCTTTTTCGTAATCAAGATATAGACCATTTATGTCATTTCTTATCCAGTCTGACTTTAATTTTATCAATTTTATTGTTTTTTTTTTTTTGTCTTTTTGAGACAGGGTCTCACTATGCAGTTCAGGCTGGCCTTGAGCTCGCTTTGTAGCTCAAGCTGGTCTTGAACTCTCAACGATCCTCCTCCCTCAGCCTCCCAAGTGCTGGGATTACAGGCATGCACCACCACGCCCAGCATGTACACATATATCACTGTGCTATGATGCTTTTAATTCTTTCAGGAAAATACCAAGAAGGGGAACAGCTGGGTCAAATGCAACCTCTAGTTTTAGTTTTTTGAAGATTTTTCCACACTAATTTCCAGAGTGGTTGCACCAGTCTACATATCCACCAACAATGGGGAAAGGTTCCTTTTCCCTACAGCCCCAGCAGCATTTGTAATTGGTTGATTTCTTGATAACAGCCATTCTTTCTGGAGTTAGATGTATTTTCAGTGTTGTTTTAATTTGCATCTCTCGAACAAGTGATGTTGAACGTTTTTTCTTATATGTATATTTCTAGTTCTTCACCTTGGAAGTGTCTGTTCGTTTCAAATGCCCATTTTTGGATTGGGTCTTTAAATTTGGGGAGGGTGTGATTTTTTTTTTAATGTTCTTTTCTTTTTTGTCTTTTTGAGACAGGGTCTCGCTATACAGTTCAGCCTGGCCTTGAGCTCACTTTGTAGCCCAGGCTGATCTGGAACTCACAACGGTCCTCCTGCTTCAGCCTCCCGAGTGCTGGGATTACAGGCAGGTGTCACCACGCCTGGCTTTTTCTTCCCTTTTTTTTTATTTAGTGTTATTTATATATTCTAGGTATTAGTCCTTTGTGTGAGGGAATAGCTGACAAAAAATTCCCCCGAATCTTTTTTCCCATTCTTTGGGATGTCTCTTCACTTTGATGGTGGTTTCTCTTGCTCTGAAAAAGCTTGTTAATAAGATGAAATCCCAGTTATTGACTCCTTGTGATAATTCCTATGCAACTGAGGTTATGTTAATAAAGTCTTTACCTACACGAATGTCTGCAAGAGGTTTACATGTTCTATCTTCCATTAGATTTAGCGTCTTTTAATATTTAGATTTTTGATCCATTTTGATTTTAATGTAGTTCCTAGTGATGGACACGGGTCTAGTTTTAGTCTTCAGCATGAGGGAAAGCCAGTTTTGCCAGCACCATTTATTAAAGAGTCTATCTTTCTTCCAGTGAAGGTATTCAGCTCCTTTTTTAAAAAAAATAAGGTGGTAGAGCATGTTTGGAGTTGTTTCTGCCTCTTGCAGTCTGTTCTGTTGATTCTTGGATCTGTTATTTTGCCAGTACCATGCTCTTTTTTTTAATCATCACAGAAACTATATAGTATAATTTCAAGTCAGGGATTGTGATGCCCCTGCCTTGCCTTTGTTGCCCAGAATTACTTTTGCTTTCCCAGGTCTCTTCTGGTTCCAAATGAAATTTAGAATTGTTTTCTCTAATTCTGTGAGGTATGCTATTGGTATTATTATTATTATTTTTTTTTTGGTCTTTTTGAGACAGGGTCTTGCTGTGCAGTTTAGGCTGGCCTTGAGCTCACTTCGTAGCCCAGGCTGGTCTCGAACTTGCAACGATCCTCCTGCCTCAGCCTCCTGAGCGCTGGGATTACAGGCGTGCATCACCACGCCTGGCTTGCTATTGGTATTTTGATTGAGATTGCATTAAATCTATATAAAAATTTTGAAAGTATGGCCATTTTGACTATGTTGGTTTTTCCTGCCCAAGAGCAATGGATACCATTCCATTCTGATAACCTATTCGATTTCCTTTTTCAGAGTGCTATAGTTTTCAATGTAGAGATTTTTTACTTCCTTTGTTAGACTGATTCCTAAATATTTCATTTCTGGGATGCTATTTTATAAGGCTTCATTTCCCTAATTTCTCTCTCAATGAGTTTGTTATTTGTGCACAGGAATGCTATTAGTTTTTGAGTGTTGACTTTGTCCAGCTACAAGACTGAATCTGGTTATGAAATCTACAAATCTTTTGGTGGAGATGTGCGGGTCTTCTATGTTGAGTATCATGTCATCCACAAATAATAATAATTTAACTTCTTCCTTTCCTATCCTTACTCCTTTTATATTTCCTTTTTTGTTTCCTTGTTTTTTGGGGCAGGATCTCATTAGGTAGTACTGGTCGGCCTTGAACTCACTATGTAGCACAGACTGGTCTCCAACTCACAGTGATCCTCTTGCCTCTGCTTCCCAAATGCTGGGATGACAGGCATGTACCACAATGCCCAACCCCTTTTCATTTCTTTTTGTTGTGTAATTGCTCTAGCTAATGTTTCTAGAACTATACTGAGCACCACTCTATTTTTGTTTTTTTTTCTTAGGCACCGGGAATCAAACTCAGGACCTTGTGCTTGCCAGGCAGGCACTTGTGCCACTGAGCTATATCCCTGTCTAGAACTATACTGAATAAGAATGGAGTCACTGGCCATCTGTTATGGTTGATACACTGTGTGAACTTGAGAAGTGTAGAAACATGACTAAGTAAATCAGCAGTTTTACATCCTGGGGTGAAAAGGACATGCCCTTACCTCTCTAAAATGTTTATTGTGTCAATTTGAGAAATTTAAAAACTTAACTAAGTGCTTTAGCAGGGGACTGCCTTCCTACTTTGTAAACATCCTCAGCTTGTGGAAGAGGAGGGCACACAGATGGTGTGGGTGTGGGCGGAGAGCCTGTAGCCTGCACACAGTATAAGGGAAGAAAAGAGGCTTGTCTTCTCCCTCGCGTTCTTGCTGCTTTTGCTGTCTTCTGCCACCGTAAACTGTTGCCCTTGTGCCATGCCACCCTGCCTTGGGACCAGCTGATTATGGACTGAAACCTCCACAAATGGTGAGCTAAACAAACCTTTGCTTCCTTAATTTTGAGTGTTGGGTAATTTGTCCCAGCAGTGAGAGAAAAGTAACTAAGACAGAATTTGGTACCAGATGAGTGGGGCCGTTGCTGTGACTAGACTTGAACATGTGGTTCAAGAGCCTTTGGGAATGGCTTGTGGAAAGAGTTTGAAAAGGTTGGGAGATTGCTCCTGAAAGTAGAGCTGGAACACCTTAGGCTGTTCTGTATGGGAGATTCTGGTCAGAGCTCAGAACACCAGAAGGCTGGTAAAAATCCTGCTGGTAAAGACCAGGTTTGGGAGGTTTCTGCTGGGAAGAAGGACTTCACTGGTTGTTGGACTCCAGAGGATGTGTGTTATGCCTTGGCCAAGAGTTTGTCTGCATTTTGCTCAAGTCCAGAGACTTTGCCTGAGACTGAGATTAAGGGCGGCGGACTGATTAATCTGGCAGAAAAAATGTCAAGGCAGTCAAATGTTGAGGCTGTGGCATAGCTGTTGTTGCAGGCCTTTAGCCAGATTTATGTTATAGATCAGGAGCAAAGAGCCCGGCAGGATGATTTAAAATGTGAGTTTGGCCAGAAAGAAAGCTCCAGTAAAGCTGTTGACTGTAAAGATAGGGCTGAGGAGATCTCCATCGCTGAGAAGAAACAGGAGAATAGAAGAGGTGAGCTGAGGGCATCACCAGAAGCAACAAGTCTCCACCTTTTGCAGCCTCAAAACTGCAAAAGTAAAAGACTTTGCTTTGTTCCAGAATGGTGGCTGTACCATGTTCCAGAATAGCAGTACAAATAATCTGGTTCAGAGTGCTCAGTGATTCAGGTGCTCCATCCCTACACCCAAGAAAAAAGAGTGCCTGGCTACTGGTCCAGCTGGCAGCAGACCTTGGCATCATC